TTTCTGGATCTGGGTTCTCTCAATATCATCTTTTCCACATCCATCCATTTACACAGAAAGATGACTTAAAAACAAAGAGGATTATTGTGCTGAGTGAAAGTAGTTCTGTGATTTTGCTGTTGCATGCAGTTTACAGGATCCATTTCTTTATTAATGCCTAAAGTGGGAGATCAGGCCCAATGTGGGTGCCTCCACCCCTCTATGTTGGTCCTGAATTGTGTAAGAAAGTAAAGTGAAGTAACCCTGAAGAGCAAGTCAGGAAAGAACTGTCCTCTGAATCTACTGGAGTTCCTAGAAAACTTCCCTAATGTTGGGCATTGAACAGGACATGGGAGCCAAATAAACTATTTCTACCATATTGGGTTATGTCAGGATGTGTTTATAAACAATACAAAGTATACTAGGACAGTTTCCCATGACTGGCCTCAATTTGTAATCCTCTAAATTTCACCTACTGACTGCTGGCTTTAAAAATGTAATCTAAACATATATAAATAGAAATTTTAATGTTGACTAGATCTCAGGGAGAAAACAAATCAAGGACCAATACAATACATTTCCATGAGGTCAGGTTATTTTAATGAAATTAAACATAGAATGCATCTCAAGCAGACAGATTGGAGAAATACTGCTGAATGAGGATAGAGACAAGAAATAGTGTCTGATGATATATACAGAGACAGGGGAGGAATCTGAGTGTATTTTTTAAAATGATAAGCACCAGTCAGAGGGTATAAACAGAGGAGTGAAATCATATGACTTGAGATAGTTAATCATGGGGAGTGTAATCATTAACATTGGTTGCTGAAACCTCAGGAGCCAGGCAGAACTGTGAAAACATCATGGCTTGTTAATGCTCTGGATTATACACATTGGTGAATATACCCACTGCACTCTGTGGAACATGGCTCATGGGGTCAGAATATATCTTAGTATATTGTGACCAGCACACACAATCATTGTAATACACATAACCTGGCTCATGAGATCAGAGCATGTGGGATATTCTGAATCCTGCCCCAGCAGGCATCTCATCTCAATTCCTGCATTCTGGTTGATCAGAAGGGATACCACTGCTAGATCATCCAGCATCAGCTGCTATCTGACCTTCAAACCAGCACTGTGTGTTTCCACACTTGAGCTCAAGCAGAACACAGATGAGCCTAGCACAGCCACACTAGGAACACCAAGGATCAATCCAAATACTCCCCAACAGAAAGCAAACAGAAACATTCAAGTAACAAACTAAATCCAGATGAGCAAGGCCCATGACAAAAACAGAAGTAACTTGAAAAACCCAGGACAACATAACTCCTCCAGAAATGACCAATTCCAATGTAGTGGCCAACAATAAGAGAGGCTTAACCAAATTCAAGGCTGGTTAACAAGGAAAACCCAATGGCAGATGCATGGATCTCCCTGAAAGGGGGAAATAAAAGAATATCTCCTGGGGGCACTTAAGGATAGGAGCATGAGGGTTTGGGTTGGGAGGTGCATGAAGGGGACTCTACTGAGAGATGACTGGAACAGGGGAGCATTTTGAGGTCAGGTAGAACATGATTCAAGGGAAACTTCCACAAATCTACAAGGATGACCCCAACTAAGACTTCTAGTAATAGTGGATACACAGCTTGAACAGGCCATCTCTAGTGGTTAGTTTGATGGCTACCTCAATTGTCATCAGGGAGCCCTCATTCAGTAACTGATGGAAACAGATGCTGAGACCCACAGCCAAACATTAGGCCTCTTTGGGTTCAGGGAATCCTGCTGAAGAGAGGGAAGGATTATAGATGTCAGAGGGGTCAAGAACATCCAAAGATAACAGAAACAACTAACCTGGCCCATAGAAATTCACAGAGTCTGAACCAACAACCAGGGAGCCTACATGGGAATGACCTAGGCCCTCTACACATATCTAACAGGTATGTAGCTTGGTCTACTTGTGGAACTCCTAACAATGGTAACAGGGGCTGTCCCTTGGGCTTTGGCTGGCTCTTGGGAACCTATTTGTGAGTCCCTGCTGTGCAGTGCTCTGCTTCCCAACATGTACTGCTCAGTATAATCCCAATTGGAAAAGTCCTGACTCACAGAAGGATAGAGAACACTGAGATGAGGTCCTAAGATGGACAAGAAAACATGGCTATTTCTCTGGGAATATATTGGTGTCATTGGGCAGATACTGTGGGATGTGAGCACTTTTGAAGATCTGGCAGACCCAGTGCTGGGTGGTGATTAGGATAACCCACATGGCAGGGACCCACAAGGAAGGACTGATGCTCCACTTGTGGAAACAAACTGCTCATGAGTAACGTCCCCGATGGGTAAGGTTTGTTATTATGCATGTCTTTCCTGACCTCACCCAGCAGCTTACTCCCCAGCTTGCCCATTGCTGGTGCCCCAGGAAAGTTAAAGCACTCTGAGAGCAGTGGGCTATGGGGACCACCTTGTGAGACTTAAGGAGGACAGCTCCACAGTGATGCCAACCCCAGTAAAGCAATGTGGAATGCCATGACCATTGACCTTCAGCTGTGTCTTGGCCACAGCATAGCTCCCTTCCCACCTTGGTTTTCAATTATACTGCATAGACATTCAGTGTCAAATGTTAATGACCAAGATCTCATATAGAAAACAACACCCAAATGATGTTGATCCTCCAGGGATTGTAAGAATGAAGTTAAAGACCAAGGCCAAAGGGCAAGTGGCATGGCACTAATAACTATGAGATCTGTTCATTGCTGGTTCATTGGGCACCAGAAAGAACGAGATAGAATCCATACCATGAGAGCTCTTTGGGAATGAAAGCTCAGCAGAGTGGGGAGATTGGATAAAGGTAAAAGGTTCCATAGCAGCCCATGCCAGGAGCAGCTGAGTGGGTAAGAGGCCTTATTTCCTACACTAACACATCTTATACCTAATACCAGGCAAGTGTTCCCCAATCACTAAGGAGCAACTGGAGATCTGTTTTTACCCTCAGGTACTCTGTCTTTTCTGAAGCCATCACTGAGCCTGTCCTGGACACCTCTCTGGTACCCTGACTCACATGTAGACACAACTGAAGATTCTGATTCCACCTTGTATTGATGACTTCTCAGGGATCACATATTTCTGTGGGGAAGACAAAGGGAGAACACTACCCATTTTCAGTTCTTGTGAGACTGTTGGCCCCTCCTTTCATCTAACCACTCCCCTTGAAATGAAGATTGGGACTGAACTTCAGAATCTCAGAGCTCAATGAACACTGGCTTGAAAATCATCTGCAGTCCTGGTTTTCCCTGGTTCACACCTATCCAGTTCTTAAATTCTCAGAAGACTTTAGGTGATGGGGTGAACATTACCTTTGCATTTAGATTTTACAGTCCTGGCAGGTAAACTAGGGGCCTAGGGTTACATATTCGCCGCTGGTCGTCATCCCTTATGCCAAGATCTGAAAACAAAGTAACCCTGACTTGCCTGATACAGGCCCTCCATCTGCTAGGAAAGTCATTGAACTTTCTGATAAGTTTTTGCACCCTGAAGGCAATCCAAATTAAACTGAATCAGACAGAATTATAAAAGCCCAGATTTAATGGTTAAAGTATTCCCAGATGAATCCTCCACTCCTCAGAGAGGAGACAGGGACTGTAGACTGGAAGAACCACATGTCTGTTTTTTGAGATGCAGCTCTGGGGGAGCAGCTGTGTTTGGCAGGCTTTGAAGGGGTGGATTTGGGAAGGAACTGTGTTTGAAGGGCTTTGAAAAAGGGCAGGTTTGGGGAAAGAAATGGAGGAGGAGAGTTAAGATGGATCTTCCACCAGACTCCTTCCAAACATTCCAGACTCTTTGTGTATCGGGAAGCCAGGGTGCCAGGGGCTGAGGTGGAGCTCCCACCCAAATATTCCAGACTCTTTGGGTATTGGGGTACTGGTTCAAGTCTGACTACTTCCTTCAAGCATGGGGCAACATGAGGAAGAGGAGTTGGGGGTGGCTGGGCTCACATACAGCAGGAGGTGTGAGGGGAGGAGCCTCCAGTCTATTGTCATCCTGGAGACCTCAGGCATCTGTTTCCTGAGGCAGCAAGGAAGGCAAGTTTCTATGAAAAATAGATCATTAACATCTGCTCTAGTTGTACTGTAAAGGTGAATGTACAGAGCAGAAGAGCAGACAGACCCTTTATTGGGACATCTTGGAAAACAGAGGCTTGCTGG